ACTGAGTGGGAATGGCAGGAACCCTTTACCACTGACTCTGGTTTTGGTCTTTGGATGTCTGTTGTGTCCTGTACTGACAAGGAAGATGCCAGTACCAACTGTGTCCGTGTCGTTGGCATACCAGGCAACAGCAGGCCTCCTCTGCCTTTTGGTCCCAGGCTCACTGTAGGTCCAGGACTTTCCCAGGGCTGCACCACATATGACCCCTGTGATGGAGCGAGCCTCTGAACTGCTGGGTCTGTTGGCACTGCATTCAGATGCTCCCCTTCCCGGGGTGGAGATGGAGCCGGTATCAAAATTGGTGTGGAGGATTTTGGCACCAGGGTCCTCTTTGGCTGTGATGGGTTTGCTCTACTCACTTCTGGATGGCGCCCCTCCTGGAGGTTCTGGGGATTGGCTCAGCCAGGCTGATGCCCCTTCTAGCAGTTACATACATCAGTTTGTCTTCCACAGACACACTCTCCCTCCTCCCTTCTCGCAGGCAGTGCCTGCAGACTTCTCCCTGCCGCCCCCTCTGCTTCCAGTTTCCTGTCCTTTGTAGAAGCCCCACCTGTCCTTCACAGGTGAGCTTCTCTCCGATTAGCTGCCTCCATCCTAAAGCTCCTCTGTTTGCAGCCTAGTTAGTTGATTGGGCCCATCTGGCCTAATTCTACTCTTGCACCCCATCACATTGGAACATCCCATCAGGTCGGCACAGCCACATTCAATTCTGAAAGTGTTCTCACCAACTTTCATGTCAGTGAATTCAGGCACTGCAGTACCACTGTTTCCACCAGGACTGATGCTCCCCGTGGTGTGGAGTGCAACAGCAGTGCGCGCAGCATTCCTTTATGCAGCTTTTCCCCCCTGAAAAAAATGGACTACCCTATAAAGCGGGTTAGATCCTACAAGAGGAAGCAATTGGGCTCATAGGTGGTCCAGTTCACCATCTTGCACCACCTTCAGATGCGGCTTAGGATGATTTACTATCCTGCCCTGCATTTTCTGGACAGGTTGGTTTGCCTCCCTCCACCAGTTCTACATTTCTTACACTGGTGGGAATCCCCATGCAATGTATGCCTTCTCTGAGCAAGTCAGTGGTTACCAGCGCTTTCCTTCTGGGTTGGAGGGCACATCTGGATTCGTTGAGGGTACAGAGCCTGTGGTTGAAACAGGAAGCCTCACTCCATATCAGTGTGTTGGAACTTTGGGCCATCCATAATGCAAGTTGTGCCTTCTCAGACTGCATCCGTATCAGATACGCAGTGGTTCACATACTCACTGACAATACCACTGTGATGTACTATGTGAACAAGCAAGGAGGGGCACATTCCAGGTTACTCTGCCTGTAGGCAATCAACCCATGGCAATTTTGCATCGAAGAAGACATCACTCTAGTAGCAGTCTATTTGCTGGGGATGCAAAATTGTCTTGCAGACCATCTCAGCAGGGTTTTCTCTCGGACCCATGAATGGTTCGTGAAGAAGAGCTTCTCTGGATCGTCTATGCAATGTGAGCCATCTCTACAGTCAACCTGTTTGTGATGAGGGAAAACAGGAAATGTCAACTATTCTGCCCTCAAGGGAGCCTCAGTCCAGGCTCCCTCCCTGACGTCTTCCACTGCTGCTGACAGACAGCTCCTCTGTATGCCGTCCCCCCCCCCCGCCATTCCGATCATTCCAGAGGTCATCTTCAAGCTCAAGGTGGATTGAGCCAAGGTCATCCTCATTGCTCCAGTGTGGCCAAGACAGTGCTCAATAGTAGGAAGTTCTCCACTAGGATGGCATACTTAGTGAAGTGGAAGTGATTCTCAGTTTGGTCCTTGACCCATGTGACCCAACCGACAGTGGCTTCCATCCAGGACATCTTGGAGTACCTGTTACATCTTCAGAAATTGGGCCTTGCACTCAGTTCGCTGAGAGTGCATTTGGCAGAGATATCAGCATTCCATCCCCTCGTTCAAAGGAAATCGTTTTTTTTCCAGTGCCATGGTGACAAGATTTCCGAAGGGTACTGTCCACTTACATCCTCTAATCCGAGAACTGGTTCCTTTTGTGAGACCTAAACACAAGCGGCTCTAATAGGCCCTCCATTCAAGCCCCTTGTGTCCTGTCTGCTGCCCCTCCTTTCTCAGAAAATCATGTTCCTGATAGCCATTACTTTGGCCCCGAACGATATGTGAGTTGCAGGCCCTCATAGATGAGCTGCCCTACGCTCAGTTCTCCAAGGATAAGGTAACACTGCGACCATACCAAAAAATTTTATCCCTGGGGTTTTCTCCGTCTCATCTGAATCAGGCAGTGTATTTACCTGTGTTTTTCCCTAAGGCTTACTCTTCCCCAGAAGAACAGCACCTTCTTACTGTGGATGTCAAGCAATGTCTAGCTTTTTATCTAGGCAGGACTAAACTGTCTTGTGTTTTGCCTTGCCGGTTCGTGTCATATGTGGACTGCATGAAGGGGCAAGCAGTCTCTGCACAGACCATCTCTAGATGGATAACATCCTGAGTCAAGGCTGCATATGAGGTGCCTTCAGCTGCACCTCCTCAGTGCATATGGACTCTCTTCTTGACAGCGCAAGCAACATCAATAGCATTCCTCGATGACATTTCCATACTGGACATCTGCAGGGCAGCCACGTGGTCGTCCATACATATGTTTACAGACCACTATGCTATTAGTGCATCCAGAGTGGATGCAGGCCTCGGAAGGATGGTCCTGCGATCCTTATTTGAGTAGACTCCAGGCCCTGCCTCCACATTGGGATACTGCTTGTGAGTCACTAAGTGGAATACTCATCTGAATCTACTCGAAGAAGAAACAGTTACTTACTGTAACTGTGGTTCTTTGAGATGTGATACAGACATATATTCCATGACACACCCTCCTTCCCCTCTGTATCGGAGTCTCCTCTCATCGGCTTTCAGTCCGCAGGAACTGAAGGAGGGTCAGGGTGGCACTGTCTCATGTAGCCAGGGAAGGGGCCACAGCCACAAGGCCTGAGTACCATCCCTCTATGGGTACTGCTAGGCAAAATTTTCTGGCTCCAGTGCTCTGGTTGTGCACACCCCTAAGTGGAATACATGTCTGCATCACATCTTGAAGAACCACAGTTGCAGTAAGTAACAGTTTCTTTCTGTCCCAGTGAAGTGTTATACATTCCAGTTTGTTCAGTGTCCTGTATAATAAGTATGCTAGTGGTCTCAGTCCATATCCTGGTGTCCAACTGTTCGTGTCACCAAACTATTATCGTGGTTGCCACAAATTGATAATCTTAACAAAGATGTTGAATCAACCCAAGGATGGAATTACACTTTCATTGTCCAGAACAGGGTTGATTGAGGTTGTGTGCCTTCCATAAGTACAGTGTGAGCAATAGCAAGTAAAGAACTTGATAAGTAAGGAATTTCAGTCTCTAGTACACTTTTCACAAGCACTAAATTAACTTGAAAGTGTAAGTTACAGAAAGAAAACAAAAGCCTATATTCTGGTTAAACTACCTGAGATTTTAATTATATCAAGTTATGTTAATCTGCTTTATGTTACAAATCCTAAACTAAAGATATACAATGCATAAATCCCAATCTTGGGATATAGGCCCCTATTGTAGTGGAAGAGCAGATGAGGAGCCTCAAACGAGAGAGTGCTGGAACAAAGTTCAGATTTGCATACGATTTGTAAACAAGGTAACTTCTGTGGAAAACAATGGAATGCAGGGAAGGCACTGATATATAAAATTACTCATTTGCCATTCATGATCCCTATAGGTAACATATGTTATACCAATAAAATAAAAACCAGCAGGATCCTATTAAAGGGGAAAAGGCAAAATACCACATCTATTGTGAATACAGAAAGAATCATCGTAAGCAGTTAGTTATAGCTATATCATTCCATTCAATCTCATATTTATTCATGCATTCATTCTCACACACACACACAGGTTCTGCAAGGTTGTTACCATAGTTACCAGCCTTAGAGTTGCTCATGCCAAGCCACTGGCCAGGTGGCCTGGACATGAGGAGGGAGCAGGGCTTTGTCAGATGCACATCTGATGCTCCTGGAAGTTGGTTTGCAGAATCAGACCCCAAAGTTCTCACTTTCTATAGTCCATTTTTATAGGAATTTCTTCCTATGCCAGTCTATGGGAATTGCTTCATCAAGCTGTTGCTGAATCATTCAGCAGATAGCACATTCCTGACGGCTCCGTGCTGCTAGATGTTATCTTGTTCTTTGGTTCTCCCATTCTTGAGGCTGTTGGGTGGATTCCAGTCTGCCCTCCAGGGGTCCTCTGGTTATTTCCACTTGATGCCTTCTTCAGCCGATGGACACTGGATTCTTAGGCTGGCACCTCCCTGATCATTCAGTTATTATCCACACCAAGCATCCATCCACATACATACTCTATCTCTGTTTTAATCACAATTGTTAACACAACAAAAGGGCGGGGAGTCTCTGGGTGCTGTTTCTGTTGTTACAGAGTATTGCTTTGAGTCTCTGTCTGTGTGAATTGCTTTGAGAACAGACTCTGTCTTAGAATGTACTAACGCAATTAGCAGCTGGCAAGTTTCACACATAGAGGGAGAGAAACAGTACCAAAAACCAAGAGACCTCTTAATTAGTAATACCCTGGAATTTAAACTATGGGGAATCAAACTCATTTGTGATTCTAATACAGAACTTCTTTAATCCAACACATATAGGTATTGAGTATACTTAATGATTGCTATTTATAAAAGGTAATTGAACTTACACCTTAGAAAATTCTGTTGCCTTTCTTGTACTTTCTGCTTCATTCGTTTACTTCCTGTGTCTGAATCCATATTGTCATAGTGCCAAAATAGTAATTTCCTTTCTCTTTATTCATTATTCATTTTATTATACAGTAGATAGGACACAGTTTGAAAGCTGTTTGTCTTTATAATAATGTCAGTATTAAATCGTCATTGCAATTGTTATTTAATTTGCTTTTGTTATACATTATATTGTGGTTGTTAATTTTTTAAATTTTTTTGTTTTAAGAATTTGGAAGAGAACATAAAAAAATTAATTCGAGAGGAAAGAGGAACATGGCAACTGACTCAGGTAAACAAGATATTAACATATTTATTTCATGTATAAACTCCTTTTACATATATTTTTGTTTTAACATTGTACATTTTTCTGTAATAAAACACTTTTTTTAACCAACCTGGATTGCAGACAAATAGTTCTCTCCCTAGCTATTGACATATGCTCTTTGGAAAACTGGCAGTATCTGATTATGGATAAACAGTTGGAATTAAAATAATGATATCTAATTTTGGAAACTACTGTGAATTTCTGACTCTTTTTTTTAAAGGCATGGTTATCTTTGTCATAAACCTAACAGGTATTGGTTTGCTTTGCAATAATGATTTTCTTCCTTTTTAGCTTGCTTGTCTAAACCAAAGAGCAGTGGCTTTAGTGATAAAAGTTCCCCATCAGTAAAGAATTGGACTCCTGACATGAATTTCCAATATTTGAATTACCCATTCTCTAGATGTCTTCATTAGGACTAGGAACAGCTTAAATACTTCATCTCCTTTAATGTAATACTTTGTTTACAATGTGGTAGCCATGTTGGCCCCAGGATATGTAAGAGATAAGGAAGATGATGTAATATCTATTATTGGACCAGCTTCTGTTGATGAGCTTGGCAAGGTTGTGGGATTGTTTGAAAGCCAGAAGAGGGGGGTTGAGAAAAATTTCTTTCAGGATGTCAAATATGTTTGATGATACCCCATATGGGTTCCAGTTTGGGGTGGTAAGTGACAACTAGAGATGTGCTGTCAGTGATTTTTTTTTTCTGTGTTGAAGCAGCTTTTCTTGCGGTATTTGGGTGACCCTTTCCATGATGTAATCTAGTTGTCTGGTGGAATGTCCTTGTATAGTGACAGCTGTTTTAAGTATGTCTAGGAATCTATGCCTGACTATCTTTTAAGTGCAAATTCTATGCTAATATACTTTTTGTGTGTCTGGGGTGGTTGCTGGATCTGTGGATGAAAGTGTGGTCATCTGAGGGTTTCTTTCATACAGTAATTTGTAGGATTGCACTGCTGAAGCTAATCGTGATGTCCAGGAAGTTGATGTTGGTGTGGCAGTGTTCTAGAGAGAGTTTGATGGAGGAGTGATGGTTGTTGAAGTTGTGGTGGAAATCTATGAGGGAGTTTAAGTTGTCTGTCCAGAGGATAAAAATACCCTTGATGTATCTCAGGTATAATGTTGGTCTCATGGTGCAGTTATCCAGTAATTTTTCCTTGAGGTGGCCCATGAAAAGTTTGGCTATCCTAGTACTCATGGCTGTTACCATGCTATGGACAAAGTGTTTATTGTTAAATGTGAAATCGTTGTGGTTGAGGATGAAATGGATGCATCTGGCATTGTGTTTTGAGTGGATTTCTGAGCATTTTACATTATCTTGTAGGTATTTGAGGCAGCCAGCGATGCCATCGTGGTGAAGGATGTTGGTGTATAGGGAGGTGACAACCATGATGACAAGGATGGTGTCATGAGGGAGGTTGTTAAAGTTGCAGAGTTTCTGGAAGAAGTTTGTAGTGTCTTGGAAGAAGCTGGCCCTTTGTGTGGTGAGTAGTTTGAGCATGGTTTCTGTGAGTCTTGATATTCCTTCAATAAGATTGCATCTGCCTGGGTTCCCTTGTTTGTGTGTCTTGGGAAGCATGTAGAAGGTCCCTAGGATGGGGTTTTGGGGGTGAGTTTGTAGAGGGTGATTTTTTTTTCTAGTTGTCTGAGGAAGGATTTGATGGTATTTTAAAATTCCTGTGTGAATTGTGGTGTGTGGTGGTTTTTTTAGTTCTTTGTAGTAGTGGTGTCAGAGAGTGGTCTGTTGGCTTTGTTGACATAGTCATAACAATTAAAGACTACGATAGTGCCCACATTGTCTGCTGGTTTGATCACTATCTAGTGGTTGGATTTCAGGGTCTGTATTGCCGTCCTCTTAGTGGTAGAGATTGTGGTGGATATAATGTTCATTGAGCATTTTACAGTTGATTTTTTCCTGAAGCAGTCAATGTAATGATCTAGTCTATGGTTTCGTCCTCTGCACAATGTCCAGTCAGATAATACTTTTTTCTTATGGCTGTCCATGGGGAGGTGATAGTTGTGGGTGGTGTTTTCTTTTCTGTGAGGTGAAATTGATGGAGGAATTCTTCTAGTTCTCTACATGATCGTATGTTACCAGGTTCTGTGGAGGGGCAGAATTTCAGTCCCTTGGAGAGTACAGATGCTTCATTTTTGGTTAAGAGTAGTCTTGATAGGTTAATGATTTTGGGGTATCACGTAGTGTTCATGTGCTGGGTCATGGTGTGTTGGTTTCTCCAAGAGATGGTGTTCTGTTGGTTGTGCAGTTACTGTAGTTGGTTTCACTTTTTGTGTGTGTTTGATGGTTGGCATCAGGTATTTTAGATAGTTGTTTTGGGTTTGCTGCATGAACTCCAGGTAGGCTTCCTGATATTTTTTCTTCCAGTGTGTGGGAACATGTGATGACTTCTTGTTGGAGGTGGTCTCTTCTGAAGCATATATGGTGCAGATGGTTCCTCAGTTTTTCTGGAGTCCTTTTCCAGAGCTGCTCTGCATATTTGGAGTCGTAAGTAGTGGCCAGAAAGGTATAGAGGTGCCCCAATAACAACTACATGGGTGAAACTAGACAATCACTACGATTGTCTGGTTTGAAGGAACTCACACAGGGAAAAATGATGAAAGGCAAAAACACCATATCACCCATTTGCAAACACTTTTCACAAGGTGATCATTCCATATCTGATCTTTCAATACTCAACCTCAAAGGAAACCTGCACAACACTTTCAAAAAGCGAGCTTGGGAACTTAAATTCATAATGCTGCTAGACACCAAAAATCAGCGTGACTGAACAGAGAGGCTGGTTTCATGCCTCACTACAACAATTTGTAACACACCTGCATGCTAACCCACTTCAACCCCCTTTTTCAGAATAATCTAACCTTTATTGCCCCCTCCATTTCAGGTGGCTTCCTACAACAGGCATTGCCACTTATGCTTAGCAATCTGTCTCAATGTGTGTTTAGCTCAGACACTGATTTCTTTCTCCAGACCTGAAGAAGAGATCTTTGTAGTTCAAAAACTTGTACCTTCTACTCACTAAAGTTGGTCCAATAACAGTTATTAAATTACCTGCCTTATCTGTTTAATATAATACTGACATTTTGTATTTTTTTTCCTGTTCAGTCCCTTCAATGTGTTTGTCAATTCTACTGGCTACTCTGCCTTCCTTATTTCATGCAGTGTTGATGACATATTCTGGCTCAGTGGCTAACTTGCTCTCATTCTGTAGATATTCCTAATATCACTGAGCTGTATTTGTTAACTCCTGATTTTGTATATACACATATAATTAATTTGTGGTTCTGTTCATAGCATTTTGTTAAGGATATGAATGACCTTTCAAATTTGGAATTTTTAAAATAGATTGTTCTTCTTTTGCTTCTGATTTCAATAAGCAAAAATTAGTTTTATGTCTTTTTAACAGGCCAGGATTAAAGCAATGTATAATGAGCTAGAGCAAAAGAAAAAAGATAGCATCAAGACAAAAGAAGAAACTATGAAAAGGATAGCAGACATTGAGGGACCAGTAGCTGAACTAGAAGCACAATTTATTGAATATAAAAATATACGTAAAGAAAATATTGAGGTAATTTTTCTTAATTTACTTTTCCAGACAATAATTTAGAATGCAGTTTAAAACACTTGTGGTTAGTTTTGGTGTGTTTACTAATAAACTTACTGGTATTATTGGAAAAAATCAAGGAAAATCAGAGTTAAGGATAAAATTCAATTCTTATGTTTTGTAATTATGCCTTGGGATAATAGTTCATATACCTCACTCAGTGACTGTATATACTGTAACATACAACAGTTAAGAATTCTTAACTTTCAATTCACATGCCATAATTGGTAACCCTTCTTCATCTCTCAACTTTTATGTTGTCTATTTTAGTTATTACAAAAGCAAAGAACATATAGCACCGGCTTAGTATGTTTCCTGTACATTTCTGCTTAGCTGTAAGTTCCAGACCTGGACAGAAGGCAACCAGCCTTTCATCTGCTGCTAGCTTGGGATTCTCTCCTCTTTTCAGCCTTATGGAAAGAGCAATTGAACAAGAAATCCCTCTCTCCAGGGAGATCTACCTTGGGTGTGAGGGGAGAGAAAGGGGGAGATTTGTGCCAGGGGTAAACCTCTTACAGGACCTTAACTCCAGGTCCCCAACCCCACTTGTCCTGTTTTTTTTTATATAGGTCACCCTTCTCCGGGCTCTATTTTCCTTGCCAGTTATTTGTCTTTTGGAAGGGTCTTTCTCATATTCCCAATCTGGTGCCCTTTATCTCACTCCCGTCTTATCATCCTTGGAGGGGAGATTGACTAGCCAACCTGCTTCCCCTTCATCAGCTGTTCAGTGGTGTCTGGCTACTTTCCATATATCGGAAGGTGCAATGTCAGTGAGATGGGACATTTCTCTCTTTCTGCCCTACAGGAAAATTGTCAGAAAAGCAAACTGCTTCTGTGTCCAGAAATTCTAACAAGAAGGGTGCGTTGGCCTGCACATGCTCAGTAGATTTTCCTGTGCTCCTGACTGAGGGTGTAAGAGACCATGCAAGCAGATGTGTCTCCAGTTCCTTCTTACTGCCACGTTGCCTGAGTCAGAATCCCTGTGTTCACAGATCTTTCCATTTTTTTCTCTCTTGACAGAGCCTGTTAATAGATTTGTAAATAGTTTTTATACATCATAGCTTTTATATTAGTATATTTAGAGTTTTATAGTATAGATAGTATAACTTGTTTTTCCCCCATCCAGAGGACTCGCTCCTCACTAGAGTGGCTATACTGAGTATGCTTAATCAGTGCAAATTGGAAACAATAGGGCAGACGATCCCCAAAACATCACCAAGCAATTCTTCTTCGAGTGCTGTTCCTGTGGGTGCTCCACTTCAGGTGTCGGTGCATCCTGGTGCCGTTGATTGGAGATTTTCGGTAGCAGTGTCTCGTCGGGGTGTGTGTGTGTGTGCACTAGCAGTCTCGCGGCATTGCTGGTGCCTCATCTGGTAGGTGCACACTCATGCTTGCAAGGATAGGTCCCTATCCAGGACTGTCCACAAGAAATGCAATCTCTCCCCGAGCCATTGAGAGCAGGTGAGCCTTCATGTATAAAGCCTAAGGGACTGGCACTGCTGAAGACGCTAAGGCTGAAGGGTAGATTTGAGCAAGAAGAAAGATCTATCAGTTCTGTCGGTGACTCTGGCTCCAAAACACAAGAACTGTCATCTGCTGGTTCCATCTAGGAGTGTGGGTCTGGACTCATCACCAGCACCGGCTCACTTATCCAAGGACCGCACTACCTCCCAAAACATGCCAGAACCATTGGTATTGACAGTTGGAACCCCCGGACACTGGGATTTATAGACACCTATACAACATTGGAGAATATCTTTCTCCTTTATCTGTAGCCTCCCATCCTCTCTGGTCTGGCCTTCTTGAGGGACGTTTCTACACCAGAGTGTGTACTACTACTTCGGTGTCTCAAGAACCATCTCATCTCCAACTGTCAGGTAGGAGTGCTCCGGTACTGATGGCCCCACCGTTGGAAGGGGAGCAGTTTTCAGATTTGGATGAGTCAGACTTTCTAGCTGCTTCTCTAGCTTCTCAGAGACAGCCAAGCCCTGACAGGCAGTTGAGGAGATCTGAGCGCTACCCGTCTAAATATGATTTCCCCAGGGACCTCTGGGATCCGATGCCAGGAAGTCTCTCTCAAATGGCTGACCCCTCTTTCTTGCCTTATTGTGACCAACAGGATCCTTATGGCAGACAACTGGAATCCGCCCAGGAATCTTACCACATTTCTCCTTCCTGGCTCCCACTGGATCCGTCGGAGTATGAGGAAGAGGACATTGATCTGGACTAGCAGATCAGGAATCTCATTCTTATTTCCAGACAAAGCAGTCACTCCTTCCTCTCCACAAGATGATCATAGGCAGTGCTAGGAACTGCTGTAGAGGATTGCCAATGATTTCCAGATACTGCTGGAGGAGGTCCAGGACCAAAAATACCACTGTCTCCTGGATGTTTTGCAACCTGCAGGCCCAAGTAAGGTGGTGGTGGTTCCAGTTACTGAGGCCATCATAGAGCCGTCTACACTGGTCAGGCAGTGGTGCTATAAGGAGGGCTTTTGAGACCACTGGGAAGCATTCATGGACAGAGGACTGTTCTCGTGGAATGGACTCCACCTGAGTAGGGAGGGCAATAGACTTCTGGGATGGAGGTTGGCACAACTTATTAAAAGAACTTTAAATTAGGAACTCAAGGGAGATGGTATGGAGATGCTCATGTAATCTCCATGCATGATTCTAGCATTGACTGGGAGGAAAATCAAGTAAGAAAGGATACAGCAATGGAAAAGGGAGCAGCAGTGTATAGGAGAATGGACATTAAGAGGGAGGATAGTGCATATATCTATTAAGCAAATAATCAGGTAGCTGATACTGGCAGTTGAATGACTGTACTCAAGTGTGTGAGGAATCTGGGCAAAGCTACGGAGAAACTACTGAGATGTCTGTATATCTATGCAAGAAGCCTGGGTAACAAAATGGAGGATCTAGAACTACTGGTGCAGGAAGTGAAATCAGATATTACAGTGATAACAGAAACGTGGTGGAACAGTAGTCATGACTGGAATACAGGCATTGAAGGGAATGTGCTGTTCAGGAAAGACAGAAAATAAAGGTAAAAATGGTGGAGTAGCATTGTATATTAATGATAATCATAGAATATCAGGGTTGGAAGGGACCTCAGGAGGTCATCTAGTCCAACCCCCTGCTCAAAGCAGGACCTAATCCCCAAGTAAATCATCCCAGCCAGGGCTTTGTCAAGCCTGACCTTAAAAACCTCTAAGGAAGGAGATTCCACCACCTCCCTAGGTAACGCATTCCAGTGCTTCACCACCCTCCTACTCAAAAAGTTTTTCCTAATATCCAACCCAAACCTCCCCCACTGCAACTTGAGACCATTACTCCTTGTTCGGTCATCTGGTACCACTGAGAAAAGTCTAGATCCATCCTCTTTGGAATCCCCTTTCAGGTAGTTGAAAGCAGCTATCAAATCCCCCCTCGTTCTCTTCTGAAGACTAAACAATCCCAGTTCCCTCAGCCTCTCCTCATAAATCATGTGCTCCAGCCCCCTAAACATTTTTGTTGCCCTCCGCTGGACGTTTTCCAATTTTTTCACATCCTCCTTGTGTGGGGTCCAAAATTGGACACAGTACTCCAGATGAGGCCTCACCGATGCCGAATAGAGGGGAATGATCACGTCCCTCATCTGCTGGCAATGCTCCTACTTATACAGCCCAAAATGCCGTTAGCTTTCTTGGCAACAAGGGGCAACAAGGATATGAGTCAGCATATCCTTGTTGCCAAGAAAGCTAACCACAGCTTCTCATCCACTGTAACCACTACGTCCTTTTCTGCAGAACTGCTGCCTAGCCGCTCGGTCCCTAGTCTGTAGCAGTGCATGGGATTCTTCTGTCCTGCTGCACTTGTCCTTATTGAACATCATCAGATTTCTTTTGGCCCAATCCTCTAATTTGTCTAGGTCCCTCTGTATCCTATCCCTACCCTCCAGTGTATCTACCACTCCTCCTAGTTTAGTGTCATCTGAAAACTTGTTGAGGGTGCAATCCACGCCATCCTCTAGATCATTAATGAAGATATTGAACAAAACTGGCCCGAGGACCGACCCTTGGGGCACTCTGCTTGATACTAGCTGCCAACTAGACATGGAGCCATTGATCACTACCCGTTGAGCCTGATGATCTAGCCAGCTTTCTATCCACCATATAGTCCACTCATTCAGCCCATACTTCTTTAACTTGCTGGCAAGAATACTGTGGGAGACCATATCAAAAGCTTTGCTAAAGTCAAGGAATAAGACTGTAAAGAAATGAGAAGTGATGGAATGGATAAGACAGTGTCTGTTTGGGCCAAAATAACTTTGGGGAATAAAGCTACTAGAGGTTCCCCTGGGAAACTGCTTGCAGTATGCTACAGACCCCCAGGCTCCAGGATAGAGACCTCTTCAATGTTTTTAATGAAATAAATATTACTTAGAATTGTTGTGATTATGGGAGACTTTAACTTCACAGATATAGATTGGAGTACAAGTGCTACTAATAATAGTAGGGCCCAGATTTTCCTGGATGTGATAGCTGACATTTATTCACCAAATAGTTGCTGAATCAATAAGAGGTGACTCCATTTTAGATTTGGTATTGGTGAATATTGAGGACCTCATAGAAGAACTGGTTGTAGGGGACAATATGGAATTGAGTGATCATGAAGTAATTCAGTTTAAATTAAATGGAAGGATAAACAAAAATAGATCTGCAATTAGGGTCTTTAATTTCAAAAGGGCAAAATTTAAAAAAATAAGGAAATTAGTTAGGAAAGTGGACTGGACTGAAGAACTCAACGATTTGAATATGGAGGAGTCTTAGTTTCTGCAACTTTTGATTTAAATTAATTCTGTCTGAAGCCTGCATCCCAAGTAAGAAAATAAAAATTTGTAGGGAACGGTTGCAGACCAAGCTGGATGAGCAGGCTTCTCAAACAGGTGATTAAGAGAAAGCAGAAAGCCTACAAGGAATG